GAGAACAGAGGGGGGGGGGGGTTTTTTTTTTTGTTTACAGTAGCCGAAAAAGTGTTCCAGGAGAAATAAAACTGAGAAGCTTACCGCTTCAAACCATTACGCATAACGATGCAGATGAACGTGAAGTTACGTAGGGCCAGACGTGCGACCATTCACCGCTAGCTACTGTTGGCATGTGTTGGAGGAATGCGCTTGCACACGCAAATTCTCTCCCTCTCTCACCCAGCCGCCGTAAATTACGAAATTTTTGATTCTACAGCCTACGTCGGTCTGGAATTACAAACCAGTCCAAGTTTGAGTCGGGGGCACCAAGTCGTGGCTTGCTGTAATTTGAAAGCTCAAGTCTTAGTCATTCGCCATGCATTCTGGAATAATCTAAGTTCTGGAATTTTCCGAATTTTCATATTTCTTTGTTCTCCATTCCTGAGAACAAAGAAGAAAATGGGCGGGGAAGGGAAGCGAGGAAGAGGAAGGCAAAAACGCAAATGGCGTGCAGGCATTTCAGAGTAACGCAGACATAACGGAGCACATTTCGCCATAAAACATCTGCTGGAGTGTGCAAGGGGGAAACAGCTTTCATTCTCTTTCTCCGTTTCCTGGCTTACCCAATAAAGTATTCGATAGCACTGAGCTGGATACTGCACCACTGGTTCTTTTGAGTGTAGTGGTTCTTTTGAGTGTGGTGATTGATGGAAACATCGTAAGAATTGTTGAAGAAATGAATATGTAGTGTGTTTCGCGACAGTATATTTCGCATACTTGGTGGACACATCACTAGCATGCAGTTAAAAATACGCTTCGCGGACAACATAGTTTTTTTTTTGCGAGCAGCGCTCGTGAGATAAATGGAATGCCACAGGAGCTCTGCACAAAGTAAGGAAGTGGGCCAGAAAATTAACAAATCAAAAACAGAGATGATGCAAAGTGCCGGCTTGCCTGCGGCCGGGTTGCATATAGCTGTTGCTGACTTGAGAAAATTAACATTTTGTCTCTCAAGGCCTCGAGGTGGACAAGCGCCGAAATCTCCAGCTAGAAATTTTACTTAAATGCTATCGGTTGGTGCAAATTCACTTCATTGTTGACATCTCTTCTGACTATCAGATCGAAAAGACTGCATCTCACTTCTCAGCACCACTGTGTTGAAGGCACTGAAGTTCATGTGTGGGACGTGGTTACTGACAAAAGCAACAGAGCGAATATTGGCTTTAACGGAGAAAGCAGTGGAGCGGTGGATGCTTGGGGTGTCTGTTCGTGACTGTGCCAGTAATCAGCTACCCATCAGATGAGCGGTGTACAAGATGTCGAAGAAGTAAAATTTGGAAGCAAATATTGCTCGTTTCACCGACGGCTAGTAAACGTGAATGGTATCTGCGAGTGTAAACGGCCATGTGAGAGACGTCCGAGGAGGAGGCATGCGTTTGTTGCGCAGGTTGCATTTCTTTTTTTCTTAATTTTCATCGAATTATGTTTGTTGCAGATGTGAAAATTTCAAAGAGGAAGTCCGGATTGCGTTGATTGGAAAATACGTACAAATTAAAGATGCTTATGCATCAGTGAACAAAGCGCTTCGGCATGCTGCGGTTCAGGCCAAAAGGAACCTTGTGATCGAGGTGACTGAATTAATCGAACTCTTGCTTTTTAGTTATCTTTTTACCCTGTTTCGAGAGCGCGAGTAAGACGTAAATTGGGGGTTGGTTTCGTTCCATGCCGCTTTTGTTAAAGTCTAGAGCAGTGGCCTGACTTCTTTCACAAAGCGGTTACTCACATGTGAGTGGAGGAACTCAGGTCAATAGGGCACAGAAGAGAACACAGGAGAATCGTCCACAGGAAACGGAACAGTGTGTCTGGTATAGTGAGGGATGCAGTGACGGAACAGCAACAGACGGTGTTTGATTAGTTTCAAGCATGACCTTTTCAAGAAAAGTTTTGTATGATAGTTTTTAGTTCATGAATGATGTAATTACTGGACCTTTGAGAAAATGCTTGAAGACGGTTCATCAAAAAACGTTGCCTCCTCATAATTTACATAGAATTATTACCCGTCGCATATGTTAGTCTCCTCCTCTTCCACCTGCTCCATCGCCTTTATTACTTTTATGCTATTACACTTTCTCTTCTCTTTCACTTATCCTTCTTGCAAATTAGTTACATGATTTTTCAATACATGGCGGGTAGGAGGCTGTACTGACGATTCCCACTCCTACCCGCATGCACTGTTCGGTCTGTGTGTACGGCTAAGGGATGAAACACAAACTGCATCATGAAATGTCTTATATATGACACCTAATTCCAATCTTTTTACTCCACTATTCTCTTCACAGTGCATGTTCTGTTCAGATTTTTACCTTCCTTTGCAGTTTCATTGTCCATCTTCAGTTGTTTCCACTTTTCCATTTGTTTTGATCAGCCCATCAGATGCCCAATATTTTTTAGCGACATCTAGGTGTAACTGAGTTGAGCTGTTTTTCCTAGATTGTTAGCCGAGTGATATTCGAGATTCAAAGCTTTCTTTCGGAGCACTTTTATCACTTTCGGTTTGTTCCCAAAGTATTTTTTGAAAAGACTGACACTGTGGGCCTATCTGTAAATTGTTTTTGGTGAAGGTGGTAAATTTTTGGTAAGGTGGTGACGTGTACTTTGGAAGGACGATGCGTGTAAAGTGGAGATAATTATCTCGGTAAGGAATTAAACGCTGGAACGCTTCGTGCGCGACTACTTCTCAATAATTTTACCAGGGGGTAGATTGGAGAGAGGGGAGGAGGAAAAGGGAGGAAGGGGGATGATTCTACGTCAGCTAGTAGATGAACTTACCATTATTACAATTTTAAAATTTTTTTTTTTTTTGGTCGTTTTTGATCGTTTCTTATTTTGCGAACATAAACATCCATAATACAAGGTATGAATTTTCTCGGGCGCCCTTCTTGCTTTTTTTCCCCTAGCAAAATTAGCCTGGAAGTGAACATTTTTAAGCATCACCTACTTGCAGTATGTCCAGTCGGAGCATCTCGAAGAAACACAAGACCCTTTGCGGCTGCCCGATTATAATCGCGCTTGGCAAGCGGTTAAAAAAGCCGAGTAAGTGTTTTGCTAAAACTTTATGAAAATAAATGCTGATTTTTTTGGGACTGCATTTCTAAGTGCAATCGCTCTGAGTATTAACGTTTAGAGCTTTCAATCGTGTTGAGACCCAGCGCTACGTTGAGCGCAGCCGCTCTCGATTTATCCCATCTTGGGTTGCCTGTTTTCGCTTGTTACTCCCCATCCATACCACCGCATTTGCATACCGTTTCTTCTGTGGCTTGTCGGTACAGTGCTTTTTTGTGTGGGTATCAGTCAGAGAACTTTTTTGGTTAATTATAATATTGTACCTCTTAGTTGTGTTCGCTAATACGTTTAGTCAATCGGATTTCCGTAAAGGATATCGCCGTGATTACGAAGTACATTCCTCCAGTAAGTAAGGGTTCAGGGAGTGGTGAGGAGAGACACCTATCTGTTATGCTGATGACCGATTGTCTCCTTTCATATCACTGAGTGTATTTTTTGGACTTAAAACAACCCCTCAGACGAGCCTCGCTGTTTTTATTTATTCAGAGCCGAGGTGACAGTCGGGACTGACTGCAGATAGGCAATCATAGGACGAGTGCTGAGTATAACTGGATTTGCATACATCTGAGTAGTATTGAAAGCTCCGCATTGATAGCACTGGCACCTCTGGTGATTTTAACTTGGCACTGCAAGATGTTTTTGTTATTTAAGACTGAGAGGCATATCACTGCTGTTCAGTAATTTCAGTTATATTAAATCAGCTCATATTTTAGTGGGATATTAGTGCCTGGTGGATTTGGCGGACGTGGTACTGAAGGGAAAATTGCGGCCTGCAAGTACGCGCGAGAGAACAAAATCCCATTTTTAGGTTTGTGTTGGAAATTGATGGTTTCATTAGTAATCTTTCTAAAGATTTTGTTTTTTGACATCTTTCAAATAAAGCAATGGGAAATTAAGGAATTGTAATGCCCGAAATTTGCCATATACCACTTCGCTTGCCCTTAAACTTTTGGACAAAACTGGGCTTCACAAATGCCTTAGACTTCACTTTTGGCCTTTAGCCCGTCATTAGTCGGACTCAGCCCTCGCAGAATTTTATTACAAATTTGTTGCTCCTGCTAAAATATCAGAGTAAAAATGTTTTTATCGTTTTGTTTTCCAGCATTTAAATGATTCTTAAACGAAGGGCTACACTTTAGTTTTGTGTTGTTTTTAGGAATTTGTCTTGGCATGCAATGCGCCGCAATAGAGTTTGCGCGAAATGTCTGTCATATAGAACGCGCCAATTCAACAGAATTCGATAAGGCCCTTGTCGGTAAGCAACAGGTGAGCCTTGGCCTTTAAACTCTTTATCACACTGGTTGTACCGTTTATCGTTAAAAAAGAAAGATTTTGGTTTTTCGGAATGTTATTTTTAAAAATATCATTAAACTATATGCAGCAATAACAATAATCGATGATATTAGTGCGTAGACAAGTTTTCGGGAGCAAATCTTGATTTTTAACAGGAATAACTTCTTTGATGTTTTTGAGGTTGTGATCGATATGCCGGAGCACAGAGGCGAGGATAAGGGCATGGGCGGCACAATGCGACTTGGACTAAGGGACACTATTTTTCTGACGAAAGGAAGCGTACTATGTAATTTTTATCAAATATTGTTTTTACAGATCATTTTTAACGGATCTATGATAAATTTTGCATAAACTGTATCTACCAAGATGACTTGGGCAAATACTTTGTATATTCCATGTTAGTGATATTACTGGAATGTCTCACACGTCGGGCGCAACTGCATAGCTACGCCAAGCCCCTCGATCTGGTGCGGCATGCCTTCAGTTTGTTCCCAATCACCCGCTCGATGTATGCGTGCTAACCCTTCGGGGATTGTCCAGGTGGTGGTATACTTTCTCAGAGGTACCACTCACTAAACCACGACGCCCAGTGGTTGTCAGCAAAGTGAGAAACATGTCCTGTCCATCGAATTTTACTTTATAGCTTAGTTGCAAAGACATTTTGCGAGCGGATTATTTTACAAAGAGTCTGTTTGTTTATATGGTCTGTAGAGAGGCAAACCAAGCGTCTTTCGCTCCATCGCTGTCTCCGTCACTGCCAACGCTCGTACTTCAATTTTTGATGATATCCTCATTCTTAATATTGATAATTCATATAACGTTACTTTGATATATGGCCATAACTTAGGGACTAAAGTTACTAAATCCGGAAAATCACTTGATTTTCCAGGCAACATATTCAGAGGTAAAGTCGATACAACATATATATATATATAGCGTATTAGTACTATTTGTACGAACTGAATCAAATTTAGATTGTTTCATAATGCCACAACTCAAACATATGATTTTAAAAGTTTACATCGTTATAAACTTTCTAACTGTATGTCGAATATTCTTTTCACGCTGCCCGATTTCATTCTTCCAATTTTTCCAGCTCTTCTTAATTGACTTTTTTGCTTTGTTCAGATCAGCTATACGGTGCAAAGAAGAAAATCAGTGAACGACACCGTCATCGTTATGAAGTTAATCCTGAAATTGTGCCGACACTAATGCATAATGGTCTTATGTTTGTCGGTAGTGTTTTTTTTTTTCGTATTTTTTTCTTTTTACAGTACATTTACATCACTAATTTAACTCACAAATGAAGATATCTTGAAAAGAATAAAAGATGGGTATCTGTGGGGTATACTGATAGCACTACAATACCGAACCATAGTGAGATTTATTAGGGGATGTGTGCATGTTCATTATAAACCAATAAGTTGCGAAATTTTTAACTTAAATTATTAATTTCGCGCCACCTAGTGCATATCACAAAATTATTCCACCTTTCCCGGAATGAGGGGGAGGGGGGAAGCAGACAAGTTAAACACGCGAACTGATACTAACTGGTTACATGCAGTTCAGCATAAAGGGGCCGTAGGTCGGGTGTGTAGTGCGTCCTGTAATACCGGTTCCTCGCCACCGACGGTCCGAACGGCCTTGGCAATTCGTCACGCCGTTCATTCGGAATATGATTTTTGTCTTCGGCAAAACGGCAATATTTCTTTTTATCTTTTAATTAGTAATGTCGCTGTTTCGCTAGAATTCTTTGTAGCAGGAGTGTGCCCGTGTTTTTGCACGCCTATACCTGTCGCAAGTTGCTGTGTTGGACCTAATCTCCCCTTAAACTCATTCAATGCTCTTTAAAACACTTAGACTTTTCACAATTATGGCACCCTGAATTCTGAATTTTACGTGGTGCGATTGCTTGTACGGTTACGCGGAGATGTCTAAGCGGCTTTCCACAGCACATAGCGTGCTTTAGTTAAAAACTTGGTTAGATCGACAGATTCGGGCCATTGTACTGAGAAGGATACAACGTACGACTAAAATCTTGCATTTTTTATGTTCGAATGTGTTTGATTCAGGTCTGGGAATAGATCATGAGGGAGCAGTTAAAACCGATGAAAAGGAAGGAAGCTGCTCGCCCACGGTGTCGGCCAGCTTTCCTGAAATTGATGTTTCCTCACCAAAGGTAATTAATTGATAGTGCTTCCTAGAAATACAGTGATTTAAGTTGCAGTGGAACGGGATGGTGTTTGGAGATGCAGCACAGAGATGCATTTATTAAAACATTGGCTTTCCGGCGGCGTTTGGTTTGAGCTGGAAAAAAAAAAAACTCTTCGTGAAAAAGTGCTGAAAATTTGTCCGGGTGAGACCAGAAAATTGTCAGAGTTGATGCACATTTTGAACAGAGTAACGCCAAGAAACAGTTGAGAAGCGGCGAATCGCATCATTCTTTAAATTGCATTTCCAGCAATACTAAAAATCGCTTTAATGATGCATCTGGAGCTGTTATAGTTAGGGAGTGCTTTTATGCTAAAGGATCTCCGTTGTGTTGAGTGACTGCTGGGGGTGTGCTTCTTCTCGCCAGAGAGTCGTAATGGATCGGTTTTAAACGTTAAAAAAAACAGTAGGCCAAATGGGATCGTTTTACACTGCAAAGCACCGCAGTCTCCATTAGAATGATAGTGTTAAATAAGAAAATAACCCCACGGACCGTTTGGGCCCTGTGGGCAGATGGAATTTGGAAATGTAGGGGTTGAAAAATAAGTTGGTTTTTTCCCTAATTATTGAAGTATTTTTTTATCATTTGGCCAAAGCAGATTGCTCGTTCTAATTTTTAAAACGTGGGTGTCCACTAGACCTAAGAGCACATATGCATTAGCATTTTTCTTACAGATATACGGTATTCAGGATTCACTTTTCTACGACATAACGAATCTAGCGAACGCAATTACGTCACATTTAAGTAAGAGGTCTATGTTGCATGCGTACAGTGAGTAGGAGTGTACCTGTCGACACTATGAGTTGTGGCACGAAGACTGTGACAAAAGTGTGAGGGAATATTACTGTACTGCGGACGCAACTGACCTAGGCTCTTTTGCCATTTCCAATCAGCCCTCACTATCTCCACCATGTGTGTTCATCATCTCTTCGAGGAACGTCAGTGTGTTGACTTTGTTATGCGTTTTTTGCAGCAATGCAATGCGAAAAACGAATATTGACGAGAGGTTGTCTGTGTGTGTGTGTTTGTGTGTGTGCGCAGGGCCTCTGTAGCGATTTTTCATCTCGAGACCGGCAAAAGCTATAGGACTGAAACTTTGGGGACTTAATCTACATGCACGTCCGGACTCCCACCCCCAAAATGGGCGGTCTTTCCCGCGTGGTACCCATGTAAGAGTCCGCCAAAGTTTTTTACGGATAAGCTGCTAATTCGCGAATCAGAAAAGCTAGTGAGCTGAAATTTTATGGAAATATTCCTCGCCCAAGTAGGTACTAATGAGCTCAAAACCAAACCCCGGGTGAGCGTAATATCCGAGTACGAGCCCAAAAAAACCGATGCCGGTAGCGACAAAAACTGCGGGAACTGTGCAAAAAACGCATTATCGCACGGACAGCCCTTGCGTTGGCCAATTATTTTTCCTTGCGAACACCATCCACTGATGTGCAGCGTCTACTGGTTATTAGCAACTTGGCATTGCTCCCCATGCGGCTTCAACTTCTTCGGGGATACGTTACATGCCACTTGTCGGAGGAGCAACCAACGTCTTGCATCATTTTTCAAGAGTGATCAGTTACGATAGTGAATCAACTGGTTTTTGAGATTCGATAAATTGTCTCGTTATTATCTAAAGTTCTTGGAATTGCAGTCCGATCTGTGTTTGGAAATTGAGCAGCTGTGCAAACGTGAAAGCGATGGCATCAGCAAAAAAGCTCTACGCTTGGAAATTGTTGAATTGCAAGGCATGCTTCTCCAATTTTTTTTTTCCAGTTGCTGAATATTTATTCAGTGGCAATATTTTGTTCTCCACTACGCAATGTATAAACTGTTCAGTGTGCCATCCCGAAGTACCATATGCTGTCATGTTTTTAGCTGGAATCGCACTGAAAAAATATGTTAACAACGTAATTAGTAAACAAGTTCTTTGAGAAAATGAGATTGGTCTTGGAAATTCGAGATTGGGATTGCTATCGGCGCGCATCCAGGCATCTGTAGATATTGAGATACGAGCAGAGGAACGCGCATAGTGTTAAACGGAGCATTCTGGACGCCTAAAAATTTGAGTGAGCTTGATTCTAGGATTTTCTGATTTATGCGGCTGTATGCAACCCATCTCCGTAATGAGACACTGGATAGTGGAGAGAACCTTTGGATAAATTTGACAGCTTACTTTTTTACAGGTCATCCTTATTTCGTTGGTGTTCAGTTTCATCCAGAATATTTGTCTCACCCGTTACAGCCAAGCCCTCCCTTTTTTGGTCTGATTGCTGCCGCTTCTGGACAGTTGGAGAATTTTCTTCGCGGTTGGAAAATGCCAACGTCGATGAATGTTTTAAAACCGGCTGAAGATAATGTAAGAGTTCAAGTTATCGCTTACGTTATCACAGTTAGATGATTAATGAATAAATTTTTTTGGTAACTTGTAAATGATAAGCCAGCTCACAATGACAGAGGGCAGATAACCCTGAAAAGGAAGATCTGGCACAGCAACGTTCAAGAATTAGCGGCAGCTCAGGAATTTCGGGGGCTAGACGTTAATATGTCCAGCATTTTGTATGCCTTTTTTGGCTTTGATTTTCCTACAAGTTTATGAGAAATTTTTTCATTTTCAGATTACTGATAATACAAGTGTAGTGCAGGCAACTCACACAACTGTTAACAAGGGATGCGAAATGCTCGACGAAAATATTGCTGAATTCGAGCAGAAGTTAGACATATGAAGAATAAGGTCTCGAAGTTTCTGGAGAATTGTTGTCTGTTATTGTTGAATTTCGACCTCTCTGACTATGATGCTTTAGAGAACTGCCGTTTAATCATATTCTTTTCATAAACTGTGGCTCTACCTCATCATTCCTTTCTGTGCATTTTTGCGCGAAATCCCTTAAAAGCGAGATGCGTGACACATCTTTTTTTTATTCCGTGAAATATACTGATAGAATCTCATGCAGTCACTCGTTATTTTGTTTTGTTTTTTGACCTGCGTAGGAGCTTCAGTTTAATCTTCTTGAAATCATAGTTATAAGTATCACTGATTGCGGAATTCGAGGTTTCGGGGTTCTGCTGTATCTTTGTTTTAATGTCCTGCTGCATCCCAGTGACATCAACAGCCCCACACTGATAGCTTGAGCGGATCCGGTGAAGAAACAACCGCCAGTTTTTGTGGTACAAATAGCTCTGTTATTTCGGCTGAGACCAATGGAATTTCTGCATTACTGCGAGGGCTGTCCCAATTCATCTAATGTAAAAAAGCCGGTGAAGTTGTTTTGACTGTCCGAGCGGCAAACATCCCAGAGTCGGGTCAATGGGAACACTTGCTAAGAATGCTTGGACTGGTTGTTATTTCATAACCTGTTTATCAGTAAAAATGTTTTAAGTAAAACTGTGTCATGAATTGCTCAAAAGAGGCTTTTTTACCTAAGTTTCCGTGGTTTCAAAATAATCAGTCATCAGACCTCTGCGTACTGTCAGAGTTATCTGTTTAAAAATATTTATCGGACAGTCATCTTTTTCCAGGGTTTCCAGTTCGAAGAACTGGACACGGTCTCTGTGTGATGTTGGGTGATACGCTGAATTCTAAATTTCATCTTTGAACAGTGGAGTTTTAAGGTTTCTCGATCCAGGCCATTGTCTTCGTAGTACTAAAACAGTTCTGCATGTAGCGTTTGTACATTAGCAATTTGTCAGAGGTTACTCAGACAGGGCTTTCGGCTGTGCTGGCAGCACTTTCTTTACATCTCATTTTCCACCGAGTTTTTTTAGTTCCTGGCTTCCTGAAGCACAGTTTTTATGCGTTTTTGTGTCTGTGCGATTCCGAAAGCATTGTCCAGAGGATGTCTGTGTGTATAAAGGTATTTCGATCTGAAGACCTAAGGAGATATGAAGATGGAACCTTTGCAACTGAGTCTGCGCTCGCGTAGGGGGCGCTAGGCGTAAAATGAACGTTCACGCCCTTCTGGTACTCATTTACGGATGCGTGAAAGATTTTTCGGCGGGAAGGCGACTTCGGTAACCTGGCAAGCCAGAACACTGAAACTTTACGAAGTTGTCCCTTGCCCACGTGTGACCCAAAGGACTAGTTCTCGACTTGGCATTTTACTAACGACGTCTCATTCTTAACCTTGTTATGTCCGTAAGTTTTCTGTACGCATGCCGTAGGCCTTCGTTAAAGCTGAATTTGAATTCTTTAACGCACTCAAAAACATAGAACATCCCTGTGGAATTTCAGCTTCCTGTCTTGTCTGATTCCCGAAAACGTTTTCCCACCGGGAAATTTACGTCTTCTTCTAGGCACGTGAACCAAGCGTATGTGAGTGGTAGTCGGACATGGGGCGGGGATATGCCTCAAAAGTTTCAGCTTACTAGCTTCTCTGGCTGCTGACTTAAAAGTCTATAATAAAACCTGAATAGGTACATATTCACACACACACACGCACACACACGCAC